CTCCCTTCAGCACTCAGCTTGCTTTCTGGTCACTATTTCCCCCCAGGTTTTCTGAGAGTGCTTTTCTGCTGACTTTCCCTTTGTTTTGCTTCCAAGCCGAAGGTAATTTAAAAGCATACAGATTCCCTCAGATTCCCCCCCACACACCCTTTTGCTGCCCCTTGAAGGTCACTTCCCCGCCCACACTGAGGTCATTCTGCCCACTTTGCACCTTCCACGATCCATTGGTGCACAAGCTCCATTTGCCCCTCTATTTAATTTCTTTTTAGGTTTTTTTGACAAGCGTCATGAGTCTAGCGATATGAGTCAATCACTAGTCTCAGTTTGCTGAATGAAAATAACAAAACCGTGGGGAGTTTAAAAGGAGCTGTGCGAGGTTTAGTTCCCCGATGGTATTAACTTGAAAGGGGAATCTGAGAGGAGGCAAATGGCAGCGTCCCCTGGATGCTACTGCAGAGATGTGATAGGGTGATTGCATAAATTAAACAACAACAACAACAACAACAACAAACATTTGGACACCACCCCCATGTGTCACAAGTGACATTGCACCCCAACTTAGAAAAGTGTTGTTTTTTTTTAAATTGTAGCTGCAGAATAAATACACCAGAGGAAAAAGAATGGCATGTAAGGCGGGCACAGAATCTGAACTCAAAATTAAAGGCTTGCCACTCTGAAAATCTGTAGCATGATGTGGTTGCATAATGGACCGAAGTGTGGTTCTAAATATGGCCAACAAGAAAAACAGCAATAATGCCACACCAATCTCTTGTAACATTATAGCTTTATTCAAATTTCTTCAGGAGATTCACAGATTATAACAGCGATAATTATGCTTAAAAGCGGAGTACCAAGCAAAAGAAGTCTCAGTTGTAGTTGAATTTCAAATGACTCCAACTACTGTAAAGTTTATTTGCATTTCCATTTGTTCAGGGTTTTTTAAACTGAAATGCACTTTAGCTATTAAAAGCTACAGACATCAGGTTGGCTTGGCGAGTCTGTTCTCTGTTAAGTATCTCATGCAGAAACACACGCACAGGCACAGCCCCCGCCCTCCTTTCCGTTTCAGAACAGTGTGTGACTCTGAAATCTGCCGTGAAACACTTTTAATTTCATTTTATTACAGTTCTTAACAGAAGAACTCCAGGATATTAAAAAAAAGAGAGAGAGATACAGATTGGATTAATTAAGGCATAGATATGTCAGGCTGAAATGTTTGGCATTTGGGATAGTTGATACCTATTTTGTTCTCCAAATGTACAAATAATCTTCACAACAGAACATTGATGCTGAGTATAATAACAACACAATGTAACATGGTGTCTGCTGGAATCGGGAGGCTGCTGTTGTTCATAAGTTGAGGTAGTTGTGAAGAATATTTCTGTATGTATGCATTTCCTATGAACATTTTAGGGGGTCTTTAGTCAGCAAAATAACAACAACCAGGGGTCATTTTGTAGAAAAAGAGGTGCAGGAGCTCATTAGCATAACTTATTAGCATAACATTTGCAGATGTCACACCCCCTGACATCACCGGAAGTATGTCAGAAGGCAACACCCACTGGACTGTCCACTGGACTGTTTTGGATTGCTAGCTATGGGGGGACGACGCGCAGATCTGCCCTCACAGAGGAGGGAGAGCTTGTACCTGAAGGCAGGCGGGGGGGGGGCGGTGTTCTGCAACTTACCTGGCTGCTTCTTGCTCCTCATGGCCCGACCGAGGGCTGCTGGGAGAAGGGGGCGGGGCTTGTTGCATGTGCCTGCCCCCTGAGCGCCTTACTGCCGGAGCTCTGCTCCTGTGTGCTCCTGCAGGGAATGACACAACAACCTATTCTTTTGCTTTGATTATGACCATTTTGAAGCAAAGCAGCTGAGAAAGGGAGTCAAACTGACCTGAAGGGAAAGGGTTAAACACTCCCTCCCCCCAATCTCTACTCTAATTTGATTCACAACCTTTAGTTGCATTTCTTTAAAAAAAACCTGGGGGAGACCCGTTTTGCATCTCCTCAAATCTGATCCCATTTGGCCTTCAGGGGAACCCTTTTCATGTAAAATTAGTAGAACCGTTTAAGTAGGCTTGTAACTGAGATCTTACCAACAATGGAGTGCCAAAACAATGGAGTGCCAAAACGCTTGCTTGTCCTTTGGAGGAAGGTTCTTCTTACGCTTGGTATGAAGACTTACCTGCCCTGTTGCTGCTGCTGCTGTTATTTAGGGTTGCCAATTCTGGGTTGGGAAATACCTGGGAATTTGGCCGGGGTTGGGCCCGGGGAGTGTGGGGTTTGGGGAGGGTTTGGGACATCAGAGGGGTATCATGCCATAGTAGGGTTGCCAAGTCCTACGCTGGAGGCGGGGCCACGACCGTCCGAGGGAAAATCATAGAGTTTTCCCTCGAATGACCGTGGCCCCGCCTCCAGTGTGCCCGGCGTGGTTGCGTCAGTTCCGGGTGACGTGCACGTTCCATACTTTGGAGGTGGGGTTCCCCCCCGGGGCCCGATCCACCGGCAGCGGGGAACAGGCCTCTGGGGTGGGGTTTTCCCCACCCCCCGGGGGGACTTGGCAAGCCTATGCCATAGAGTTCCCTCTCCAAAGTAGCTGTTTTCCTCAGAGAAACTGTAGTTTGGTGATCCGTTAAAATTCTGGGATATCTCTAGACTCCACCTAGAGGATGGGAATCCTGCATTTTGGATGGGGTATTCTTAGTGCTGTTAGTGGGGCGTCTGAAGCCATGTGCCGGCATTACAGTTGGATGTACATGTATCGGGATGCTGGTACCATATGGGATATGCATTTAATCTCCCAGTCCTAGGCATCAGCCACTGTACTGAGTATCCAACAGGTAAGACCGGTCGAGTAGGTTTTGGAGCCAACCAGGGGAAACACTGGCTTTTCCTAATAGCTTTCGGGCACAGATATGGCCCCCAAGATGGCTACCGCTGCCAGCTAGTATTTTTTTAAATATTTCTACCTAGGTTCCTATGGGCATTTATCAGTCCTCGAGCTAAAATCAGTGAGCCCTGGCCCCTGGGATTCTCTTCCATCATAGCAATGAGCTGCCAGATGAGATCAGGGCCCTGCGGGACCTTCTGCGAGTTCCGCAGGGCCTGTAAAACGGAGCTCTTCCACCAGGCCTTTGGAGCCACTGCCACCACTAACAACTGACAGCTTGAGATGGAATGTGTCCCCCCTCTGGGATTTCTGACGGCAGCCTGAGCCAGCCGCCTAAGAAAACCAAAAAGCTGACTGTGAAGAGAGAAAACTGTGCAACAACTACCGCTGTGAAATTATTGAAATTAACGATACTAGCAATTTATTATATTATATTTATAGTTTAAATGGTTTTAGAATTGTCTAATTATTTAATTGCTGTTAATGTATTTGATGTGTATTGTAAAATTTTAGGTCGTTTTATGCGGTAGCTCAAGTGGTTAAGATGCTGAACTGCAGGCTGTGGAAGGTCGGTAGTTCAGCAGTTCGAGACCCGAGTGTGCCGCATGACAGTGAGCTCCTGTCTCTAGTCCCGGCTCCTGCCAACCTAGCAGTTCGAAAGCAAGAAATTGCAAGTAGATAAATAGGTACCACTTCAGTGGGAAGGTAACAGCGTTCCGTGCGCCCTGGTGTTTAGTCATGCCGGCCACATGACCACGGAAATGTCTTCGGACAGCGCTGGCTCTTTGGCTTTGAAACGGAGATAAGCACCGCAACCCTAGAGTCGGATTCTACTGGCTTTCGAGCAAGGGAACTTTTACCTTTATGTAAGCTGCCCTGGGCCAGGAGGGCGGTGTAGAAATTAAATAGATACAGGGGTCATTTCCTGCAGGAGCGCACAGGAGCGGAGCTCCGGCAGTAAAGAGCCCAGGGGGCGGGCAAACCCCCCCCCCAATAGCTAGCAATCCAAAAGAGTCCAGTGGAGCCTGAGCGGTGGGTGTTGTCTTCTGACACACTTCCAGTGATGTCAGGGGGTGTGGCATATGCAAACAAGTTATGCTAATAAGTTATGCTAATGAGCTCCTGCACCTCTTTTTCTTCAAAATGATCCCTGGATGGATGGATGGATGGATGGATGCATGGACGGACGGATGGATATGGTAGATCATTAGCCCTATCTGCCAATTGTAGACTGCCTTCTTGCAAACACTTTGTAGGTTGGTGGCTAAAGACCGTTCATAAGATCAGGCTGTTGGTGACAAATTTAATTGCTCTTAATTGCTGAATATCTGACTTTGGTTTTAAAAACATCAGAAGAACCCTGCTGGATCAGACCAGTGGCCCATCTAGTCCAGCATCCTGTCTCACACAGTGGTCAGCCAATTCCTCTGGACGGCCAACAACGGGGTGGAGAGGCCGAGGCCTTCACTTGATACAAACATAAGAAGAGTCCTGCTGGATCAGACCAGTGAGGGGCCATCTAGTCCAGCCTCCTGTCTCACACAGTGGCCAACCAGTTCCTCTGGAGGGCCAACAACAGGGCAGAGAGGCTGAGGTCTTCCCCTGATGTTGCCTTCTGGCTCTGGGATACAGAGGATTAGTGCCTCTTAACATGGAGGTTCCTCTCAGCCACCATTGGTAGTAGTCATTGGTAGACTTATCCTCCATGAATCTATCTAATCCCCTTTTCAAGAAGTTTATTTCTGTGGCTAAGTGTTCCCTCTAAGCTGAGTTAATGTGAGCTAGCTTACAGTTGTCTAGCCTCCGGCTCACACATTTTTTTCTTAGCTCAGGGAGGATGGCTCCAGAGCAAACTAATTTATGCAGTAGCCAAATCGCTCACTCACAACTTTAATGCCAGTAGTTCACAAAGTAGAATTTTTGTTCACAGGACTCCATAGCTTAGAGGGATCATTGGCTATCACTGCATCCCCTGGTAGTGAATTCTACATTTTAATCACCCTCTGTTCTAAAAGAACTTCAGTATGCTACTCCCCATACGGAATAACCGAACATCTTGTCTGATCATCTCTTTGTTTTGTTTGTTTCCATATGCTTGTATTGCCCCATAGGTGAAACAATGAGAATTGCTTCGTCAGAATTTGCCGACGATCCCTGTTCCTCCGTCAAGCGTGGCACCATGGTCCGAGCGGCCCGCGCCCTGCTGTCAGCTGTCACTCGCTTGCTCATCCTGGCCGACATGGCGGATGTCATGAGACTCCTGTCTCACCTGAAAATTGTAAGATTTCTTAAATTTGCTACCCTCTGGTTTGTTGAGTGTGCAATGTATGCTGGTTTATAGTGGTATGCATTAACACCAGGGCTATTTTTGGGCAGGAGCGCACAGGAACGGAGTTCCGGCTGGCTTCAGAGTTGGCCATGCCCACTACAGCCAAAACCTCTGCGTGTGTGGCTACAGAGGGAAGGCCTGGAGAGCGATCCCCCCGGCGACTCTGAGGCGGGGCGGCCAGGGGGGGCCCTGGAATGATCGGGGAAGAATTTAAATGCCTCCCCGTGCCTTCCCTGGCCTGTCCAAGGGCCAGCTTGCCTGGACGCCCGCAGCCACAGGGCACCCGGGTAAACCAAGGGAAGGCAGTGCCACTGCTCTTGAAGGCCATGCTGGGTTAAAGTTTCATAAATGCGTTTTCATATATGCAGAGACGATGTCTGAGGTGTTTATTTTTTAAATCTCTGCCACATTGTGCACTGACGCAGTATATATTGGATCCTTGCTACCACTTGAAAATGTCGCTTGGGGTGCTTTCTTTGGTGCTGTTGTCTTTCCGGTGTTGTGTTACTGTTGTCTGATATTGGTCATGTGTATACCTTAAAAAGAATGCATGGCCCTACTTGGCCTTGCGTAGCTTATATGTAGTAGGTGCAGATAAGAATCAGTTTGCTTTTCCAGGCAGCCCTGTGGCATGCAGAAGCTGTAGACTACCCCCCTCTTGTGGTAGACTCAGAACAATTCAGTTTTCTTACTCGTGAAAAAATTGAATGCATCTAAACTTTGATTGAAGCTAGAAACAGTAAGTGCTTAATGAATCATCACAGATAGAGGGGGAGAAGTAAGCCGCAGAGGAATTATAGAATAGCGGAAAGATTTACTGTGGGTTTTTATTTGGTTTGCCGCTGCCTGCCTTCGTGCCTGCAGAGGCATATAACAAAATGCTTTGTAATTGGAACTAACCATAGTAATGATTGATTTCCCCCTCCCCCCCATTCCTCTCCATATCCACATGTTGCAGATCGATGGGGGGGGAAAAGAGATCTGCTTGGGCAGACAGGACTGAGCAAAAATGTTTCCAAAATCTGGCCTCTCTTCTTGATCCAGGGCATAACAGGTGTGCCGCCCTTCTCTTTCCTTGGCCTCAAATTGTGATGGGATGTTGTTCCTCAGGCCGTGATGCATGACAGCTTTTATCTTGAAGGGAGATCCACGTAGGCAAATTTGAATTTGCACAAATTAGGTTCTATAATGGAAAATGCCAAGTCCTTTCCTGCAGGGAAGACGCCAACGCTGTGCTTAAACAAATTTCAATGCTGTCCTGCTAAAATGTCAGCACATTACCCCATAAATATGTGCATAGTAAGTAAGGTGCTCCTTGAATACGTGACAGTGATTTCCAATTTGTAATGCGCACCGACCTGGTTTGGGTGACATGGCAGACTTGACAAGGTATTCTTTTGGGCGAGCACTTGTTTGTGGCTTTGTAAAGCACTCTTTAGGAGGACACAGTGGCTTAGTGGTTAAGACGCTGAACTGCAGACTGGAAGGCCAGTAGTTCAGCAGTTCGAGACCCGTTTCCTTCCCCATATTCGGTTACACTGATTTTGGAATGGCGCTGATCACAGGGAGGAAGCATTCTCACAACCGTTTCCTCTGCACAGTCTCTCCTGCGGATGAACCCGGGGATCGTGTGGTGTTAAGGGATGGGTCAGCATGCTTATTCCCTTCCTTTCCACTTGCTTGGTCAATGTCTGGGACGGTCCCGAGCACTGGGCTACTCTTTCTGAACACCGGCCACATGACCACGGAGATGTCTTCGGGCAGCACTGGCTCTTCGGCTTGGAAATGGCGATGAGCACCGCACCCTAGAGTCGAATTCGACTGGCTTTCGAGCAAGGGAAACCTTTGCCTTTACTAAAGCCTACTGAATGTGCGTGAAAGGAGAGCAGGATCAAGCACCCTCCCCTAGCTTCCATGCAGTTTCCTGGACATCTGCAGGAGCAATTGCACGGAATAAGTGGCCACCCAAAGTCTCCTTCCCCATATTCGGTGACACTGATTTTGGAATGGCGCTGATCACAGGGAGGAAGCATTCTCACAACCGTTTCCTCTGCAGTCTCTCCTGCGGATGAACCCGGAGATTGTGCGGTGTCAAGGGACGGGTCAGCATGCTTACTCCCTTCCTTCCCACTTGCTTGGTCAATGCCTGGTGCGGTCCCGAGCACTGGGCTACTCTTTCTGATCATCTGTCGTCCTCCCTGTGATCAGCGCCAGTGTCAGTAGAAGGAACGTTGCAGAGTCCACCTCTGAAAAATATTTCTGTGGCCCTTATATCAGTCTACAGGCTTCATGAAGGGGGGAAAAAAGTTGACAGCATCTCTTATTGGGGCTGGAATGTTTTGCTTTATTCTCGCTTCACAAGTTAGCTTCAAGACACCACAGCAGAGGTGTCAAACTCATTTGTTACAAGGGCTGGATCGAACATAAATGCTACTTTGTTGGGCTAGGCCTTGTGTGCCATAAAATGTAATAACCAAGGGTCATTTCCTGCTGGAGCCCCCCTCCCCACCCAAGTGGTGCTCCGGCAGTAAGGAGCCATGGCCCTGCCCCCCACCCAGGGATAACCTCCAAAGGGGGGGTGTTTAAATGCCTGGGTTCCCTGCCCGATCCTCTCCAGGTGCCCCACAGCCGCTGCCATGAGGAGAAGATCCCAGGGCACCTGGAGAAGATCGGGCAGGGAACCCAGACATGTCTGCCTCTCTGCCCTTCCTGTCTCCAGCCAGCCCACCATGGTGGGTTGGCTGGGGAGGGGAAGGGGAAACCAACAATAAAACTTTCTTCAATAAAACCAACAATAAAACTTTCTTCAAATACATTAGAAGCAGGAAACCAGTCAGGGAGGCAGTGGGGCCCTTGGATGACCAAGGGGTAAAAGGAGTACTGAAGGATGATAGGGAAATGGCTGAGAAGCTAAATGCATTTTTTGCCTCTGTCTTCACTGTGGAAGATGAGAAGTGCTTGCCCACTCCAGAACCGCTGATTTCGGGAATGCAAACGAGTTATGCAAATGAGCTCCTGCACCTTTTTTTTTTGTAGAAGTGTAACATCCTGCCAAACTGACGCTAAACAATAAAGAATAGTATAATAAAATTTATAAAGTATATTGTCTTTCTTAAAGGTGGTAACCACGTATAGTACTTATTTTCAGTACAAGAAATGCTGTTATACAGTAAGAGAATCTCCCTTATATATAAAAGCCGAATGGTGGTGGCACTTCTCTAGAACATTCCACACGCTCCGGAATTGGTTGGCACCCTGGTGTGTCACTCAGATTCTGTCCCTATCCTTTGGCTGTATTGCTTGAGTCTCGCCTCCAACGTTCTAAACAGTTTGCTGTTCCTCTCCCCCCATAGCCAGTCAGAACACAGAGGTTATTTGCATATGCAGCCTTATTGGCCTTTGCCTCGGAACACAGAGGTCGTTTGTATATGTGACTTGATTGTCTTTTGCCTCTAACATTCTAAACAGTTTGCTGTTCTGAGGTAAAATGTGTCCAATCTCCAGGTGAGGGCTGGAGATCACTCAGAATTACAACTACTTCTAGATGGCAGAGATCAGTGAGAAAATGGTGGGCTCTGAATCTTTATATGCTGCTGAGGTGGCCCCCGTATGACAGCCAATGTGACGTAGCAGTCAGGGCTTCAGAGCATGGGAGAGGCTGCAGGTGTGTGGGGGGGTGGAAAGCTGAAGAGTGAGGGGGAAATAAAGGTAGGTTGATGATTGGCTGGGAAGGAGATAGGGTTGCCAACTCCAGGTGGGAAATTACTGGAGATGTGAGGGATGGAGCCTGGAGAGGGTGAGGTTTCAGGAGGGGTGGTACCTCGGATAGGTACAAAGCCAAAGACTCCACCCTTCAAACCAACTATTCCCTTTTGGGGAACCATTGTTGCCAGTCTCCAGGTGAGGGCTGAAGATCATTCAAAATTACAACTGTTCTTTAGGTAGCAGAGATCAGTTCCTCTGGAGAAAATGGTGGACTCAGTGTCATTATACCCTGCTGAGGTCGCCACAGCAAATTGACACTGAGTGTCCAAGGCCGGGCCACCCGCCCAGAGCCTCTTTCTAGAGGTCGTTGTATTTATTTCCACAACGGGCCTTTTTCCTAGTCACTCTATAATGTTCATATCACCAGTACAAGCAGTGCTGCTATACAGTAACATAATCACTCTATAATACTGGATTTTTGGATTTTGATTGCTACACAATTGAGTTCTGATACCTTGATTTTTATGTAGTCCTCTATTACATGTTTGAATAGGTTCCTTGTTGTGATAGTATATGTTGTGATATTATAGAGTGACCCCCTTACTGTTTAACAGCATATCATGTATTGAAAATAAGTGCTATACGTGGTTATCATCTTTGAGAAAGACAATGTACTTTATAAATTTTATTATAATGCATTTTATTATTTAGGGTCAGTTTGGCATGATGATACACTTCTTGTGGTTATCCAATTGTATTGTGATTCTCCCCCTCCCTTGTTGTGGACCCACCATAAAATGTAATGCCAGGTACTTGAGATATAAACTTTATAAATTACACAGGCAAACCCAGTTAACAATATTATTTTTTCTCAAAATACAAACAAAAGCAGTTGATTCCTAGGAGTGAAAGCAGTTGCTTTGCTGGGGAATCCACAAAAGCCCCAATAAATGTATTTAATCACATGCAAAACTAGAGTTTTTCCAAGGGATACCTTAAGAGGGGGGTATGTTACTCTGAGAAGCCTGTAATGGGCCATTCCGGACAGGCAGTGGCAGTGCGGCGCTGCAAGACCTGGAGAAGCTGACGTCATCTAGCCAAGCCGAAGTGAATATGCCGACAGAACACGTCTGACCCTGCAGCTGAGCAAACCCTCGCCGACTGTGAATGTGTGTGATTTAAAAGATATATGTTGTCCTCCCTTACCCCCATAAATCATTGTTAGTCCCGCATTGAAGGAGTAA